ATTAAAACCCCGAGACAGGATAAGATCTTCCAGGAAGTGAGTATAGATAAGCAATTACCAAATCAAATGCCCAAACATGTAATTTCCTTGGTTTGAATCTTAGTTTTGCCACTTACTAATTAAAAAAAAGAATTTTTTGTTAAAGAAAAGAACTAAGGGGCCTCCCAGGCAGCACAATGGGTTAAGGTGCAGCCCTATGAAGCTATTCGCAGCCACTATGTCACCAGTTCCATACTAGCCAGGGAGGTGACCCACATGGCGTGGCAGACCTCTCCTGACCTGCCCAATGCTCTCCTCTCTTGATTTGCTTGTTCTGCTCCCCACTCTGTCTCTGGTGAATTCTCTCATCCCTCAGTTTTTTCACTGATTTATTTTATAGATACAAACACGGGTGTGTATGCACACACAAACACAAGCAGAGGGCTGGTCAGGAGAGGTCTGCCATGCCATGTAGGTCACTTCCCTGACCAGGAATTGAATTTGTGCTGCAGTGGCTAAGAATCACTTCACAGTGCTGTGCTTTAAAACTGTTGCGCCATCAGGGAGGGCCCTACTGAATTTATTGTTAATAAAAATATTGATGTAATTCTGAAACTTTTTAAGGATAAAATAAATGTATTAATATTATTAGGAACCAAGATTTTCACCTGCAAGAAATGAGATATAAATAGTCTATAACAGCATAGCTTTCATCTAGGTAAATCTGAATTGAAAATTTCAGTAAGACATTATGATTTAAAAACTTTAGCTAGGAACATTGAATACACCTTATGTCTTTTAAATTACCATGTGTTCTAAATTACCACTGCCCACTAATGGAAGTAAGGCTCTTGCAGAAATGACTGATTATTCCAAATCTGTTCCAGAGAAAATATAATATCCTGCTATAAAGTCATGTCAGAATAATACAGGAGCTGGTTTGAAGGGATTTCTAACAGTTTGATCATCAAAAAGAATAAAGGTAATGATGGATTTGGGCAGGGTAAATTAAAAAAGAAAATCCATAGTGCTAGTGAAAAAGATACAGATGCTCTTCTGCTAGAAATCCTGGGGTCTGCCCATCTCCTGCTATTGTTCTACTCGGCTTCACATGGAGTTGAAATTATGAAACATGAAGGGGAGCCCAGTCAACCTGTATAATCCTTTAAGATAATGGAACAGTTGCTTTATTTTTTTTTTTAAGATTTATTTTATTTATGCCTATAAGAGCTAGGGTGTAGGCCAGAAGTGTGGGAGGTGAGCAGATTCACCCAGAGACAAAGTGGGGAGTAGAACAGGCAGATTTACTGAAATCCATTGCTGAAGGGAGCAGCAGGCAACAACCAGGAGAGGTCTGCTCTGCGGTGTGAGTCATCACCATGCCTGGGGATCGAATTCATGCTGCAGTGGCTGCTGATAGCCTATAATGTTGAGATTTAATTGCCTTGCACCACCAGGGAGTTGTTTCAAACAGTTGTTTCAAACTAACAATTTTTGAGGTGGTTTCTTGTATTCAAACAGATAATTGAAACATTTTTCAGACAGTTGTTTGGACATACAGTTTATTAGATGATACAGAATTACTGTTCTTATGTAATAATTATGCAAGATAATGTTATTGATAGTAGAAACCTGCTGAAATATTAGGAGTGAAGGGTCATGATGTCTATAACTCATTGTGAAATGATTCATAAAAAAGGATGTAGGAAAGCCAGTGGCCCTCCCTGGTGGTGCAGTGGGTTAAAGCGCAGCACTACAAAGTCGGCTGCCACTACAAAGTCGGCCGCAGCCATTGCAGCAAGAATTCAATCCCCAGTCCAGAGGTGACCCACATGGCACAGCAGCCTCACCCACTGCTCCCCTCAACAGTGTACTTAGTTAATTTGCCTGTTCTTCCCACTCTGTCTCTGGTGAAATCTCTCATGGCCCACACCTCTGGCCTGTACCCCAGTTCTGTATGTCTAAATAAATAAATCTTTAAAAAAAAAGTATGGGTGGTGGGAGACTATGGTGACCACACCCAAGAGCCTGAAAAAAAAAATTAACAAGGGTGTAAAATAATGGTATTTAAAAAAAAAAGATTTATTTATTTATACATAAAAGAACTGGGGAGCAGGCCAGAGGAGTGTGGTGAGAGGATTCACCAGAGACAGAGTGGGGAACAGACCAGGCAGATGTACTGAAATACATTGTTGAGGGGAGCAGTGGGCAGGACATGAGAGGCCTGCTGTTACCATGTGGATCACTTCCCTGGCCAGGGATCAAACTCTTGCTGCAGTAGCTGCTTGCTGATAGCCTCATGGTGTTGTGTTTTAACCCTTTAAGCCGCCAGGGAGGGTCCAAATAATGGTACTTTTTATATACATATTTATTTATTTATAAGAATATTTATGCATACAAGAATGTGTAGGCAGGCAGTGGCTAGCAATAGCTTGATAGCTGAGATTTTAACCTCAGCTGCCACCAGCGGTTAATTTTAAATTTTAATTATTGTTTATTTTTTGCATAGAAGAATTGTAGGCCAGAGGTATGTGGGGACAGAGACAGAGTGGGGAGCAGAACAGGCAGATTGACTGAAATACACTGCTGAGGGGAGCAGTGGGCAGGTCAGGAGAGGTCTGCTGCGCCATGTGGCTCCCTGGCTGGTCATTGAACTAGTGTTGTGGTGGTTTCTGACAGCTTCATAGAGCTGACACTTGCACCACCAGGGAGGCCCCTATTTCTTTTTTAAGTAAATGTTATTTAAAAACAAAATTCCCATTATCTTCAATTGTCTCTTTTCATCAGCAACTCTATACTTAGTGAGTGGAATTTGGAAGGCTCTACCTTATGCCATTGGTTGGCTATCACTGTCCTTCTTAAAGTTAGGTAATCTATGGGATAAACCCCTGCCATCCTATAAAGGGATCTATGGCAAGATGAGTAAAATCTAAAAACCAGCAGAGTCTGGCAAAATCCATGTACAGGCATGCTAGGTTGTGTTCTTTTTCTAAACATTACTTGTGTGTAATGTTTCTTGCCGAGGCCCAATAGAGATTCAGCACCCGCAGCTTTACGGGTGTTGGTTACTTTGGTGCCCATTACCTGTTATGCACCAAAATTGTAGACTTCCAGAAGGAAAGTTCAGGTTCCTCATGAATCCCACTGCTTATAGACCTGTCCAGGCACAGCAAACCACCTTCATCAGTTAGGGGTTGAAGAACAAACAATTCCAGAATATTCACTCTTTCCAAGTTCACTTACATTTGTAAAAATTGACTGTATACTGCTTCCTAAATTTCCACGAATTGGAGATTTGAAATCATACAGAGAATGATCATAGCTTAGTTGAGATAAAAATTAATACTGTAACAAGAAAATTTCATGTTTAGAAAATAATCACTTTTTAAAAAAAGATTTATTTATTTATTTATGCATACAGAACTGGGGTACAGGCCAGAGGCGCAGGAGTGGTGAGAGGGACAGACTGGGGAGCCAATTGATGAAGTACACTGTTGAAGGGAGCAGCAGGAGGGTCAGGAGAGGTCTGCTGCGCCATGTGGATCACCTCCCTGGCCAGGGATTGAACTAATGCTGAAGGGGCTTCATCTTTGTAGTGCTGTGCTTTAACCTGCTGTGCCACCAGGGAGGGCCCATAGTTTTTTTTTGTTGTTGTTTGTTTGTTTGCTTGTTTGTTTCTTAATTGCTTCAAGGTATCTTCCTTACCAAAATTTTAGCCTCCGTAAGAACATTTACATCAAAACCCTGTTTCCCTGACAAACTATGTCCCTGAGAATGTAACCTTTTTAGATGAGGTTCCCACTTCTGACAGAGAAGAGCATTCAAAGTTGTCCCTTCATGTGAATTTCTCAGCCAAAAATGTATATTCCTACTAGGGAGATTTTTGACCTAATTCTTGTGGGTCTCTTTTTCTAAAGGCATAAAGAGAGTCAGCACCAGAATAGAAAGATGGGGGAAATCTTTACCAAAAGTGAGAATTGTAGTGCAACATGAAGATTAAATTAATTCCAGCAGGTAGTGGGGAGGGATGAGGATTACAGGTAGTTGGATACAAATGATACATGCAGTGCCTTTGCCTCACTCTTTTTCTATCACTTTACTTTGAACTCCCACTGTCCATTAGTGTACCTCTTTCCCAACCTTCTATCTTGATGGTTTCCTTTGATGCATAACAGAGTTACAGAAAGCTGAGCCTACAGGAGAAAAACAAATGAACTAGTGATAGCACTGGAAAGTGCTGCTTTTGACTGGTTAATTTTGAGCTCAGGGATAGCAGGTGTATCCACTGGAAAAAGAGTTCAGTCACTGTAAAGTGTGCTGCTAAAGCCCCTAGAGCTTCTGGAAATAAATGAACAATCTGGAGAATTTCTCTCTCCTCCAGTCTTGATTTGGATAGAGGTTAAGAGTGAGGAGCCTGAGGCAAAGGCACTGCATTTATCATTTGTATTCAGCTACCTGATTCCTCATCCCTTCCCACTACCTTTTGGAATTAATTTAGTCTTCATGTTGCACTACAAATCTCACTTTTGGTAAAGATTTCCCCCATCTTTCTATTCTCTTAATGCCTTTAAGCACTTACTGCTTTTACTACTGTTTTGGTCTTGAGCATATGTTACTTGATACTATTTGATGTGTTCTCACAGGAAGTGACTCATCAACCCTACTGAATTTTCTGCCTCCACAGCTCAGGGACAGTGTGGTAGTGATCTGTCTATTCTCTGTAACACTTACTGAAGCATCTTGAACCATGTGCCATTATCAGAATGGACCAATTCAGTTTTTGATTGTTCTTCACACTTAGAACAGTTCAGGGTCACTTTTTCAGGAGCCTGTAATCTCATATATGTACTGATACAGGAAGGTGCTATACAAAGATATGAATAAACCAGTAAACATTGTTTGTGGAAGGGGCAGAGTAGGAGGAGAAAGGAGAAGAATAGTGGGAAGTAAGGTCTGGTTTTATTTTTATTTTTTTATATTCATTAAAATGCCCCTCTGACATCCTTGGTCTCTTTTCACAGAATCCTGCCATCAGCATCACTGAAAATGTGCTGCATTTCAAAGGTCAGTATGTTCCTAGCTCTATACAATTAAAGGGAATGGTAGTTCTTTGAAATCTTTATTTGTTTTATTCTATTTACTTTATTCACTTTTTATTAAGGCTCACCTTAATAAAGTAAACCAAATAATTTGTTTAAAGTCCTCTTTCCCTTGGAGAGAAAGGCAATAGATAAATGAAAAAGAATCCAGGCTAAAAATCAGGAGATTCTACTACTATCTTAGATAACATATGACTTCTCTAGATCAATGAAATGAGAGTATTGGGTTATAACCTGTGTTTCTCAAACTCAAGGATGCATAAACACTTGAGAATATGTCTATAGGATACTCTAGGACAGTGGACCCACAAGTATAAGAAACATGATAAGACTTAAATATAGTCACTTTAAATGGTATTTGGTTCCAGTGTAGCTGTGAATCCACACACAGAAATAACCACTGAACTTGTGTGGCAATACTTAGATGGTCCAGAATACTCTTCTTCTTCTTTAAAGATTATAATGAAAATAAAAAATAAGAAATTTTTATGTTGAGACTTTCCGGCTCCTAAATAGTGTACTTCTAGACCAGTTTAGGAAACACTGTGCTGTTTCCTAAAGGCTATATAAAGCATTTCTAGTTCCATTGTCTACCTCCCTCTCCTTTATCTTCCATTCATCAGCAAATTAAGCTGTTGTGCCTAATAGGGTAGTTCTAGATTCACTGGCAGTCAGTGGGGTGGATTCTCCCTGCATTCTCTCTGTCCTAGTTCCTGGGACTGTCACTAGTAAGTGACTAGGATTATGGGAGATTGGAGAGTTTGTCCTTTACGTGAGATTTCATCTGCTCTATTACACCTGCACGGAAGCACAGCCTGGCTTTTGTATCTACTTTCCAAGATGAGAGCAGTGGTGTTAGTAGATTTTGGGGAGAGTTAGACATTTAAGGGTAGTTAAAGTATAAAAAGTAACACTTGCAGGAACTTACAGTCTTAGAAAACAATAGCCACCAGTAAGATATATTATTCAAGTTATACTGCATATGAACAGATGAGAAAAGAGTCACAGGGGGGAACCAAAGGTAGTTGAGCCAGAGAATTAGAGGTAAAGGTGTGTCTGGCAGCCACTAGTACCCACACAAGTTGCTTGATGTAGGGAAAGGAGCCATGTCAGGGTGGGGATTATGTAATGTCAGTCTAGGGATGTTTCTCCCAGTTCCATTTGTCTTTGGAATGAACTGAGAATATTTTATTTCTCCTTCCTTATTTCACTTGGGGTTTGATAAAGGAGAAGCCAGCTTTTCCATCCTCTATGACCATTTGGGAGGTATTAGATTCAGAACTTTCCTAAGACAGTCCAGCATTTCCATGTATCCTGTAACTTTCTTTAACTATAGTCAAGATACTATACAAGATAATACTTGGTTTCTCTCTTCTCTGGATTCAGAACCAAAGTAAATGTGAAAATTAAATTTACATCTGAGTTTTTTTTTTAAAAGATTTATTTATGCATATAGAACTGGGGTACAAGCCAGAGGTGCAGGGGTGGTGAGAGGATTCACCAGAGACAGTGGGAGCAGGACAGGCAGATCTACAAAGTACATTGCTGAGGGGAGTAGGGAACGGGTCAGGAGAGGTCTGCCACACCATGTGCATCACCTCTAGGATTGGGTATCGAACTTGCACTAAAGCGGCTGTGGCCAGCTTGCAGTGCTGCATCCTAACCCATTGTGCCACAAGGGAGGGCGCCTGTCTGTGAGATACTTTGACTTTGCTTTCTGTATTCTCTTTTCCTGCTTATTATTTGCTAAAGGCATAATGAAAACTATATTAGAAGATTAACTAAATACTCTGAAACTGATTATCTGAAGGACATATGGAGATAAATTATGTCGAGTACTTAGTTTATCTAACTTGAGTAGCTTTGCTCAAGGGACCCTCTGGTTTTTGAAAGGACCCATTAGTATTTGCATATTTCTGAAAGAGCTGCACCAAACTAACTTTTGGATGGCTTTGCTCTGCTCACTTTCACAGTAACCCTTATTTCTCTCGTTATAGCTCAGGGACATGGTGCCAAAGGAGACAATGTCTATGAATTTCATCTGGAGTTCTTAGATCTTGTGAAGCCAGAGGTATGTTCTTTATTTTCTCACTTCCCTTTCCATTTTAGGAAATAAATACTAGTAGTTTAATGAAGTGGAGAGCAGAATATGTGAGAAAGAAGATAAAAATCTAAGGGGGAAATACAGTTTTTATATTTGAAAGAGAACCCAGGTTTTACTTAGCTATAGAGAAAGGCCAAGTCAGACAATGTGAGTTGAACCTGGGCTCTGTCATTCATTAGTGGACAAGTCTCTTTACCTCTTTGAGGTCCAGTTTTCTCATGTATTAAATAAAGGATTGAACTAAATGATCTTTAGGGTCCTTTCTAGGTCTGATAGGTTGTGGGTTTTAGTGATGAGAGGAGTATGTTACTACCATGAGGAGAGTGGAGTCTCTTGGAGGATGTGAAGCCAGGTGACTGCTACTGGGGTGGTGAGAGCAATAGAAATCAGATAGGACTGAGGAAACTGGTTTTTAGAAAGAATGCTAGTAGTATAGTTGAATTTTCCCTTCTCAGAGTTTGAGGGAGCTTCTCTAACAGGAAGGGAGATGATGATTTTAGTTTTTGCAGCTGTACTCTCAGCTCTGATGCCTTGAGCATATTGATTTCTTTCTGAAGGACCATTGCTCATTTGAATTCAGTCATCTTTATAGGAAAAGAATTTGGGGAGGGAACAGGCATTTGAAAGGGTGATTGGCTGTACTGCCTTGCATGATGTTCTGGTAGAGGTTTATGCTAGTTTCTTCTTGGATAAATAGAGCTACCTGCCTTACCCTAAGTTTATCTTGTATTATTCACCTGGGGAATCAGGAAAAGAACAGTGATGGTCTTACCAGTTCTCCCCTATCCTAGTCCTCAGTCTAAATGTTTTCTTTGTATCAGGACTTGTAGAAACAGAGAAGGAAGGGGATAGTTTACCAGGCAGCTTTTCTGATTGCCACACTGGCTTGGCCCAGTTTTAGGGAAAAGTGTGAGAGTAGGAGAGGGTATTCTCACATTCTTACTTTTTCTCCTAGCCGGTTTACAAACTGACCCAGAGGCAGGTAAACATTACAGTACAGAAGAAGGTGAGTCAATGGTGGGAGAGACTTACCAAGCAGGAAAAGCGTCCACTGTTTTTGGCCCCTGACTTTGATCGCTGGCTGGATGAGTCTGATGCGGAAATGGAGCTCAGAGCCAAGGTCAGTAAGGTTCCTGGGATCTAGATAGAAATGATAAGGAATACAAGCTGTTTGGGTCACCTCAGATATCTGTTTTGGATCTGATAGAACAAGGCCAACATTATTAATTCATTTAGAAATGTGGAGACATGTTTCATAGAAGTATTGGTCATGAATTTTGTAGACTGTCCCTCAGATGGAATTTCTTAGATTTTTTTTTTTTGGTCATGATAACTCTAGGGTGATAGGTTTTTGGGTGAAAGTCCATAAAGATAAAATACCATACTTATCACAAGTTATACTGAGGGTATGTCCTACCTACATAAGTATCATTATTGATAGTAAACTTGATCAGCTGGCTGAGGTAATGTTTGTCAGGTTTCTCCACTTTAATGTTAAGCCCCCTTTTTCCTACTGTTCCCTTGGAAGGAAATCATTATGCACAGCCCACACTTAAGGAGTGGGGAATTATGCTTCCCATTATTAGGGTATAATAATACTTACTTACTTTATTTAGAATTTTTCTGCATGGGAGATTTGTCTGTTGTCTCCCATTGATATATTCAGTCATCTACTTGTCTCAGTATGCACCTTATGAATATTTTATAGTTTGGGTTATAATTCAATGCTGTTACATATTTTATTGCTCATATTGTTCTAGCTTTGGCGATTGGAAGGTCTTTTAGTTGACTCTTGTCTCTTTGACAAAGCTTCATCATTGTGGTATTGTTTTTTTTTTTGTTGTTCATGAAATTGCTGGCATTATAAGCTGCTCCTGGCTTATCTGATACAGTCTCTGCTCCAGTCCTAGAATCAACCATTCTTCAAGGAACTCTGTTCTTTTAATAGTAGAAACTGAGATCTTGGTATTATGTGCTCATCACTGTTGGGGTTCTCTCAGCTGTAAGAACAAAGCAGGATATGTGTGCATATAGTCATGCATATATATATCTATCTATAAATATTCTGACTTACATCCAGTTATTTCTTAGCTATCTATATCACCCTAATGTGAGTTCATGCTGATGTTTGAGACATGACCTTGACTTCTTTTTATACTGATGTGAGAGACATGATTTTGAAAAAATTATCTTAAAACTCTAGCAGTCTTAAAAAATAAGGTGGCAATCTATTTCTTACCTTAAATTTTATTTGTTTTTACAATTGTGTTGCATATTCTGGATGTCTTTTTCAGTTCTAAGATTTTGAGGCCACTGATTTTGTAGTTTGGAAGCCAGCTGATTGGTTTAATTCTGTGAGCAGTGGCTGGGCATTCTGTCAAGCTAGTGCTATCTAGTAACGAGGAGTGAGGCTCTTTTGAACCATGAGCTGGGGCATTTTCCCCAGTGTAATATGAATACACTGGACAAGGTGGCTTTGAGGAGTTAGACAACTTATCCAACATATGAACTTCTGCACACATCTGGGAATTCTAATGTGCACTTGGAAAACTTCTATCCAAATTTTAGGAAGAAGAACGCCTAAATAAACTCAGAATTGAAAACCAAGGCTCCCCTGAAAGTAAGTTGCCTCTGCTGTTTCGGTAGATAACCACTTAACTTGTGATAAAGATGTGGGTATGGATGAGAGAGCTAATATTAAAGAGGTGAGTTTATGAGAAATCCTTAATCTGCAGTATTTGAACTGTGCATATACACATCAGATGCCTTACTTTTAATGTTTCCTTTCTGTTCGGGGCTTAAAATCATCTGAGTAAACCAAGATTGTTACAGCAGAATGGAACCTCATTTTCCTGACTGGCCTAATGTTAGGTGGCAGGCAGTGCTACATCGACATGTGGAAATTACCACATAGGTCTAAGGCTGCACTTCTTCTAGCTTGGTGGTTTTCTCTCAGCAGAGACTGCAAGGGCTGTGCCACAGATAAGTGTGATAGTCAGCCTTAAAAGATGGAGAGTGTTCTGTATACACTCTACCCATTAAATTTTCAAAAGTCAAGTTCTATTTCTACCTGTCCAACCACTTAAGCAAGAAACTCTGTAAATGTATTATCTTTTGGGTGACAAGGGTTAAATTGTTTGTATCTATTAAATTCTTGTTGCATGGAAGCATTGTATTATACCCTTGAGGTAGAGCACCTGTGCTCAAAAGAGTTTACCATGGGAGAACCATTAAGGTCTACACAAAACTTAATTCTGAAAAGCAGAATAAAGGCTTCCTCATTCTAAATTGATGTTTTTGAAAGTTTAGTGGTCTTTGTCTTTCAGCCTTAATTTTTCTGCATCTTCTGCCTGTAGCACCTTGTTGCAGTACAGAGCCAACTTCTCATCCTGCCCTATCCCCCCCACGGGGGTCATGCAGACTAGGGGCAATGGCTTCACCTCCTCTGGCACTGAGAGAAGGGCTCCCTCTTCTGCGCCCTCAGACTGAGAGTTGGGCAAGAGTTGGAGCTGCTGGCGGGCTCGCTTTCCCCTTCACAGGGCAAGAGGAGCCCACCACCACCAGGAATGTGGTGCCCTTGAGGGTGCCTGCAACCACCGAGTCCCTGGGGGGTACACAGCTAGCTTTCTTGCCTTGCTTGCTGGGGATGATGGTTCAGATTATCTTACTTTATGGGGTAGGGAGCCCAGGCTGGTGCAGACTTGGGCCACATTTTTGTGTGGGTACTTAAGGGCCCAAGTAAGATAGAGGAATGTAGTCATTAAGATATTCCCCTCACATCCATCCCTCTTCTGTTGAAACTACTGCTTTTAACAGCTTGTTGCCTTGCTTTGCTTTTTAGCTCTTACAAGTCTGAAGAAAGGATATCTGTTCATGTATAATCTGGTGCAGTTCTTGGGATTCTCTTGGATGTTTGTCAACATGACAGTGCGGTTCTTTATCCTGGGAAAAGGCAAGTACAAAATTTCAAGACTAGTTTTCTTTTTTCAGTAGTTTGGCCCATGACTCATCAGAAGTAACATTCTGGGGCCTCCCTGGTGGTGCAGCGGGCTAAAGCACAGCACTGTGGAGCTGTCCACAGCATTGCAGCATGCGTTCGATCCCTGCCACATGGTGTGACAGGCCTCTCCTGACCCACCTGCTGCTCCCCTCAGCAGTGTGTTTCAGCACATCTGCCTGTTCTGCTCCCCACTCTGTCTCTGGTGAGTCCTCTCACCCCCCGCACCCCTGTTCTACATGTGTAAATAAACAAATCTTTAAAAAAAAAAAGTAACATTCTGTCTTTGATATTAAAATAATCCCTCATATTTGTGTGGTACTTCATGCCTTTCATGGTACTCTCACATCCCTTTGTTCTTACTGTCTTATGAAACCAACACTGGATATTTTGCCCTTTTAACTGGTGATGAATTAGGCTTAGAAATGTTCCATGTCCACATAGCTAGCCCAGTGCACTTCCTTCGTGTTCAGTGCTTGTTAGTACATTTATCACTAAATAAATGAATGTAATACACCTCGTCCCAAAAGGGATCTCACCCTTTTGGAGCCTAAATAGATTATCTACTGGACTATTCTAAAAATGAAAAGACTATCATAAAGTGCTGGTTCTTACCAAATTAACTTATGTTTGACAAAAGTCTGACCAAAGTTATTAACAAAGGAAAATTTGAGAATATGATCTAAAGTGTTCTGAAATTTTATAAACAGTAAATAAGTGATAGAATTTAAGGGAAGAAAAAGTGATGGGAGAGGACTTTATCTACCTGAGTGATGTGAAAGAATGATAATTGAAATAGTATTGAATTAGTGTTAATCAGTTGAGTAGGTAGGTGGCTCAAGAATAGCTCTTACATTTTATAAACCCGTTACATAAACGATTAAAAGCAATCATGAATCAATAAAAAGGGAGCTGTTGGTCAATAATTTTTTTATGTATGTATAAATACTTTAAGGAAAAATAGAAAGCCTCTGTTTTAAGGAATGATATGCCCCAAATCCATCTGATTACACTGGTATCATAAATATACCTAAAATCTGTCTGCTAATAATTCACTTTTTGCAACCATTCTAAGTCACTTATTCTCTAAGTCACTCTCCTCTAAGGTTTATGGCCAAAGCATTCTAATTGATTTCCCCCTTAACTGTCTTCATTTCCCTAGTTAGTTATCAGAGCAGCAGCTGTATAATATTGTTAAATTACCAGTGAAATCACCTCATATCTCCTTTCAAAAGTTGCCAGTAACATATGGAAGAGTAAAAATGTATCCTGGTTCACTTCTGGAAATGTTCTAAAAAATAATTCTAATTATGAGAAATGCTTTTACAAGAAGATATGTAGCATGGCATTTATATTAGTGACAAGTTAGAAGATGAATATCTAATTATTGAAGAATTGCTTCCTAATAGTCACTAATGAAATGCTGAGAAGCAAATATGAAGTATTTAAAGTTTATAATAGCATGGAAAAATACATAATGATAGTCCAAAAAAAAATTATGAATTTATTCTTCAAGATTGAACATACCCATATAAAAAGGGGAAAAAACTCAACCAATACGTACAAAAAGATTGGAAGGAAATATACTATTTCAAATGGTTTTAATGTGGATAATAAACATTTCTTCTTTATTTTATAAAATAAATATGGGGGAAATTTAAGTGTAATGGAAAATATAAAATCCATTCATAAAGAGATAAAAATCCAGTGGACTGATTTATTCTTTAGTCAGAAGTTTTCCCATTTGGGTTTTATAGAAGGTGAATTGTGATTAATGCTGGATTACTTAAAAGAAGTGCATGATGTTTTTCCAGTCCTTACACCTTGGAAGCCTTTAGAGCACAGTATCAAGGTAGTGAAAAAATTCCCAAATGCCTAGTGCCTGTGGTCCTGTGTGACTGAAAGGACAAAGGGAGGGACACAGGAATGTTGCTTAAAAAAAACACAGAAGTCTCAGACATATTTATTCTCAAACCTGTAGCTTTTATCGTGTGGAGTTACCATAAGTCCCAAGGAGTAAAAGTAGGGATATTCAAAGGCATGAATATTTTGTTTAACCCAACACAGTTGGGTTGATTCTGAGTGTTCCATGCCAGCATGCTTACTGCTAGGTGAGCCACTCCAAAATTTGCTAAGTTACTGCATCATGTATTTAAAGTAAGCTTTCTAGATTTGTAATTTCTATTTTAGTTCTTAGTCCCTTCCCAACTGTTTCCTGGAATGAAACTGCTGGTTTAATTCTTTATCAGTTCTCAGAGATGTAGTAAGGCCTGGCACTGAAGTTATGGTTTGCCCTTTGCAGCTTTCTCCTTTTGAATAAAGGGCGTTGATAAATAGCAATTTCCATACTTTCTATAGCAATTCTACTGCATACTTTGCCTTTTCGTGTAAACACATACTAAATTTCTTATATGATGGAAACAGCAGCAAACTCTGGCTTATCTAGAAACTCTTGTTTGAACTTGTCTTTTCCTCTGTTAGTGAGTACTTTTTAAATTAAGTACACTTTTTTATTTTTTCCAAATTACAAAAATTAGTATTACAAAAACATCAAGAAATAAATAAGACAAAAAATTATAATCTCATCTATGAGAGCAACAGATTTCTTGGTACCTTGGTGTATATCTAGCCAAACCCATATAACTTCCTTATGAGCAATTCCTGAAGTGGAATTAGAGATAAAAAGGGCAAATTGTTTTTAAGAACTTTGATGTATACTACCCAGAAAGAGCATACCGTTTTATACTACTACTACTTAAATTTTTGTTCTGTTAGTATATGATATGCTTTAGTACTTTCAAAACATTTTTTTAATCATAAAAGTTCTGATTTAGGGCCTCCCTGGTGGCACAATGGGTTAGGACGCAGCACTGCAAGCTAGCCGCAGCCTCTTCAGGGCAAATTCCATCTTCAGCCCAGGAGGATCCACACAGCATGGCAGACCTCTCCAGACCCGCCTGCTGCTCACCTCAGCAGTGTACTTCCTCTATCTACCTGTTCTGCTCCCCACTTTGTCTCTGGTGAAGCCTCTCACCACCCCTGCATCTCTGGCAGTACCCCAGTTGTGTATGAATAAATACATCTTAAAAAAAAAAAGTTCTGATTTAAGAAGATTTGGAAAATGAGGAAAAACCATGGGGGAGCAATGGTGGAGGAAGGGGAGGTGAATAAAGATGATCCATTTATCCATTTTTCTTTACATTTTCTTTTAGTCTTTTTCTCCTGAAGTTGAAAAATAATTATAGTCATACTATATACATATATATATATAAAATGCATTTGTTTTTCAAGTTTTGATAAGCATTTTATACCTTATTGTGATTCTCATTCTAGAAATCAGATTGCTATCCCTGAATTGAAATAGGGGTGAAGTCCCATTAAGTTAGGCAAAGCAATAAGATCTAATCTTATTTTCCATATACCAAACTTTTTTTTTTTGAAGATTTATTTATTTATACAGTACTGGGGTACAGGCCAGAGGTGCAGGGGTTGAGAGGAGTCACCAGAGACAGAGTGGAGAGCAGAACAGGCAGATGATGCAGTATACTACTGCTGAGGAGAGCAGCAGGCTGGTCAGGAGAGGTCTGCGGTGCTATGTGGATCATCTCCAGGGCGGAGATCAAACTGATACTGAAGTGGCTTTAGCTTAGTGCTCTGCTTTAACCTGCTGCACCACTAGGGAGAGCCCATAATATAAGCTTTTTGATTAATTTTCTGATTTTTAAAAAGATTCTCTGAATAAGAATTATAGGATTAAATATATAAATACAATTAAGATTTTAAAAAATTGATTTTATTTACTTTTTTTTTTAAGATTTATTTATGCATACAGAACTGGGGTATAGGCCAGAAGTGTGGGGGTGGTGAGAGGCTACACCTGGGGCTGGGCTCAAACTCATGCTGAAGTGACTTTACCTTCTTAGTGCTATGCTTTAACCCGCTGTACCAACAGGGAGGGCCCTATTTAGTTCTTTTACACTTCTGCATTTATTTATGATTATACAGTTTTTGAGATTTTAAAAGACTAGTTAGCATTCAATATATGTGATATACTGAATATATATATATTGAATATATGTGATATAGTTTTAAATTAAATGAGATGATGGACCTGCAAAGAATTGTCACTGTTACTGATACATAGATTTTTCAGCTTATTATAACTGGATGAAGTCTATATGTTCATTTAGACTTCCTTGCCTTTTAAAGTGAGAAGGTCACATAGGGGGTTTGTCTATTAGCTTCCTGGTAACCAGTACAAGTTTACTGGTTACTTTGACCCCATAGATGTGTTCTCTTCCAGCTTAATATCTGATTGGATATTCATTATACCTTTTATAAAATTCCTTTCATATAAGGAGTTACATGCTTTGATAAATAATTCTGTTGGAATTTGCCACTTGGTTTATTTTTAATATACATTTGTCCCATAGAATCCTTCTATGACACATTCCACACCATGGCTGACATGATGTATTTCTGCCAGATGCTGTCAGTGGTAGAAACTATCAATGCAGCAATTGGAGTCACTAAGTCACCAGTGGTACCTTCTCTTATTCAGGTATTGAACAGTTGAGCCCAAGGGTGGGGAATGAAATATTTCTGGGCTTATTTAATAGGTTGTCACAATTTGCTGAGAAGTCTCAATTAATAAAACCTATTTCTACAGGAAATAGCATTGTTTTATTTTAATAAGAAGGGAAAATTTAAGCCCAGGGATATTTTTCCAATGTAGTTATTTGCTATTTCATGTCTTTTTTACTGTTTATGACAGCTCTATGAAATAATAAAGTTATTTTAAAAACTGTAGAACTAGGGAATCTGAAAACGTATCCCTCTTTCTTGCTTATAGATGTGTTTGGTTTCCTGCCATGTTGAGTAGATAAAGCATAATACCTAGGAACTGTTTGTGTGTGTGTATATATACGCATGATATACATACATGTATTCCAAATAGGAAGGTGGCTCTTTTGACTCAATGGGGATCTGTCCCCACAAAACATTCACCATGTTTCCTAATATTTAGAAGGATATTATTAGAAATGGGGCATCAGAGTTTTTCATCCTTCTTCTCTCTTTCCTGGCTATGTAATGATGATGATTAAATACCACCTACCTAGTACTCAAGGGGAATCAGGTCATTGTTGCTTAGTCTCTTTTGGAGTACGGTTTTTATAGTTCCGTGTGTTTCTGGTATACCAGCCTGGTATTCTGATAGTATCAGATGAATGGTAAAGGGTTGATTTTAAGTAAAAATGTTATTTTTAGAGTTTATTTCCTTGTTTAGTTATAGTGAATCACCTACTAATATGGAATTTTTTTTTTATATATCCAGCACTAAGTACAACAAAACATTAAGCTAGAATTTCTAGGGCAAGATGGAGGGTCAGGTTCAATACTCTACATCACACAGCACCAGGGAGCACTTGTCATGTGAACATAGTGTTAAGTGTATCTATCTGGAGCTGGGCGGTGCCACATGCATTAGCATGGGTGAGTTTCAGGAGCATAACATTGAATAAAAAGCAAGTCACAGAGTAATACACAAAAGTTGATTTCAAAAACTTTCAAAAAAGTTAAAATGAAATAATATATTGCATAAGGGGCAAATTTATGAAGGTGAGCAGGGGCATAATTAATCCAGGATAGTAGTTACTTTGGGAAAGTGCATAATAGTAATGGTCTATTTCTCAACTTGGCAAATGACAAAAATGTTCATTTGGCAGTATTCTTTAAGATGTTTGAATGTGTGTATTTTTTAAAAGTTACTATTTTACTATTCAGAAAGACTGGTGTAGGCACTTCAACTTTTTCCCAAACTGAAACAGATGAATAAGTTTCTATTTACTCTGTGCTTAGTAGGGTTAGGTTTTAGGTAATACATTTACATATATATATATATATAAATTTTTTTTTTTTTAAACATTTCTCTTTCTTATGGGTCCTAATAGCTTCTTGGAAGAAATTTCATTTTGTTTATCATCTTTGGCACCATGGAAGAAATGCAAAACAAAGCCGTAGTCTTCTTTGTGTTTTACCTGTGGAGCACAATTGAAATTTTCAGGTGGGTATAAATGTAAGCATGATGCTCGTATGTTTCTCTCTCTCAGAAGCAGCTGTCTTTGAGGGAGTCTTGCCATTCTCATTTGGTTTGGGAGTAAGATTATGTGTGTGGATAGTTCTAGCTACATCTGTGTGCTCTGCAAATGTGAGGCAGAGTTTTTTTTTTTTTTTTTTTAAAGCAGTCATTGGATTTCAGCACTGCCCTAAGCACTGGGGAGCAGAGGAAAAGATCCAATGACTGAAAAGCCCATCTTAACCATCCTTCAGAACTTGGCTGTCTTTTTGGAAAGAGAATTCATTTCATATGAAAAAACTTTTTAAAGGGCTAAAAGACTTGGAATGAAGGGATAATCCAGGTTGGGTAAAATTAATCAAACCAGCCTTTTGCTACAAAATTACTGAAGTTTTAGTTGACATCTGATTCTTCCATTCTTAGTTGTTGGTAGAAGAAATATTTTTAAAAAATGATTCAATGAAAGTAAATGTATTTGTCTTTACCATACCATACATGAGTCATATTTTTGGGAGCAAGAATTTTGCAAGTCCATTCCCCGGCTCTAGGTTTGGTAGTACTTTGACAAACAGGTCAGAAGGAGAAGTTACTAGCACTCCCAGACGGTCTTAACTGTGTTCTCCATCCTGTGGCACCTAGTATATCTGCTAGTGATCTATTTAATACAAAGGTGAAACAGATTATGTACTTGACAATTGTTTTATTGAAGTAATGTTGGTTTATAACATTGTATAGGTTTCAGGTGTATGGCATTGTACATCCGCCTACCTACCTACCTATCTACCCACCTACCCACCTACCTAACCACCCACCCTACCTACATCACATTATTGAATGTGATTTCTATCCTGCATCATACAATTTTCCCACCAGAATCCTGCCCTTCTTATAATTGCATTTTTGGTCTTAGATTATCGATACTTAAATTAACTTTTACTTTTTGGGAAGAAACAAGATTATTTTCTTATGGTAGCTCTTTTTAAATAGAATGTGATTCTAGATTACAGGTCTTTTGTATACTTTAATTTTGATAACAGTTAATTTATCCAGAGATAAATTGTCACCATGCCCAACTGTAACATAGAACTAGGAATAAATCTAAACAGCTTCTATACTGAACTATTCCAAAGAGGAATCCTTTGAGACCTAAACTTCACCTGTGATTAAAGAGTTTAGATCCTTTGAAAATTTGGGAAGAAATGATGGGAAGATGACAGTTCTGTTTTGAAGAAGCCATGGGAGGCTGGTTATGAAACGCTTCTTGTATGATGCTTTAAGCCTCCATGCTGGTGCAAGGGGTTAAGTGTCAGCAGTATCAAGCTATCACCAACCATTGTGGCATGAGTTCAATCCCTGGTCAGGGAGCTGACCCACATGGCACAGCAGACCTCTCCTGTCTTGCCTGCTGTTCTCGTTAGCAGTGTATTTCAGTCAGTTCTCTTGTTCTGCTCCCCACTCTGTCTCCAGTTCTTGTATGTATATATGAATAAAAATAAACTTTTTAAAAATAATATAATAGTTTATTTTTACATCATTTTGTGCCTTTTTCCATCTCAGTTGTAATCCCCATGGGCTTCCCATCACCAAATCACCTATGTGCCATCACCATAGTTCAGTGCATTTCCTTTCCCCCACTGTTTTTGATCCCGTTCCCCACTCCACCCCATAAAATGTCTCTGGTATATAGTTGTTCAAAAAATAAACCTTTTTAAAACATAAATAAAATTATTTTCTCTTTTACTTTCAATAGGTACCCCTTCTATATGCTTTGTTGCATTGACATGGATTGGAAGGTGCTCACATGGCTTCGTTACACCGTATGGATTCCTATCTATCCTCTGGGATGTTTGGCAGAAGGTACTTTCAGGAACTCTAGCTCCAAGTAAAGCTAAGCTAATAGGCCAGATTTTTCTTGCTCACTCTACCAGCATTAGTGTGATATATAAGTAATGGACTTTTCAGGGACTTCTCCATTGTACTTCTGGTACTAAACTGTCCCAGGAAAATAGATTATTTTGTAAGGTTTGGAAGTTGGGTAGTCATATACTATATGCTTCCTATTTATGTGGTATTCTTAATTTTCCAAATAAGGTCCATAGATCATCTTATTCTGAAAAATACCCCATAGGCCCTCCTTGGTGGTGCAGTGGGTGAAGCTATCTGCAGCCACTGCACTGTGAAGTACAGCACTGTGCAAGCACAGCACTGTGAAGCTGTCTGCAGCCACTGCAGCACGAGTTCAAATTCCCAGTCAGGGAGGTGAGCCAGATGGCGCTGTAGACCTCTCCTGACCTGCCCGCTGCTCCCCTCAGCAGAGCATTTCAATACATTTGCCTGTTCTGCTCCCTACTCTGTCTCTGGTGAATCATCTCACCCCCAAACCTCTGGCCTATACCTCAGTTCTTGTATGCTTAAATAAATAAATCTTTAGAAAAAAAAAACAAAACCCCAGTAAATAAGTTAGGTAGGGAATTTTCTTTTTACTTGTAAAATAGGAAACTGAAGATCAATGTACTCAAATGACTAGTCCTCATCTATCTTTCTGTTTTTAGCTTATAGGCTTATCCTCTAGGAAAAATGGGGGTTGGGGCCCAAGAATCATGAGCCCTCCATACAAAAGGACAAGGAATAGTTCTAACAAACCCCAAACTGAAATTTTGAGGGGCTAGAAAATTCTTTTGTTATATGTCACTGTATTTCATTTGTTTCTAACAAGTTCTTGTTTCTGCTTTCAGCTGTCTCTGTGATCCAGTCCATTCCAGTATTCAATGAAACAGGAAGATTCAGTTTTACATTGCCATATCCAGTAAAAATCAAAGTTAGATTTTCCTTTTTTCTTCAGATTTATCTTATAATGTTATTTTTAGGTAAGTACTAGCTCTGTAATAGGTTTTTTTCATATTACTTCGTAGAGGGTAACATTAAACGATTCAAAGTTTTAAAAGTCCTTATTAGGAGTCTTATTTCCAAAAGAGTCATATAGAGTTAGAGAAAGATTACATTGCCAAAAAGACCCACTAGGAGAGTATGCTATATGTTTGAAGTATTTTTCCCCACATCTCCAGTGGTTATCTTCTTGAAATACTTTTGGTCATTGGAAATTCATGAGTATAAGATAGCTCATGTTCAACATAATGTAAGAAGCTCTTTTAAAGTAGAGTAAGAACTCATTTTACTTTTACTAATTTCAGTGTTAGATTCCTTACCCAGAGTTTACAAAAGTGATAAAACAATTGAAAATAAGGAAGAAGGCAATAAAATCCTGAGCAGTTGAGAGATGCCATAACTTCTTGCCTTAAAATTCGTAAAAAGTAATAAGTGAAAGAAGGGAAAACATTATTATAAAAGTAAGAGATATAGGAGCCCTCCCTGGTGGCACAATAGGTTTAAGCACAGCACTATGAAGCTATCCACAGCCACTGCAGCAAGAGTTCCATCCCTGGCCATGGGGGTGACCCACATGGCATGGCAGACCTCTTCTGACCCGCCCAGTGCTCCCCTCAGTAGTATATTTCAGTGGATTTGCCTGTTCTGCTCCCCACTGTCTCTAGTGAACCCTGTTACCCACCATACCCCTGGCGTGTGCCTCAGTTCCTGTATGTGTAAATAAATAGAAGTTTTTTTTAAAAGCCTTCCTGACAGAAGGGCTAGTAGATAACAAAGTTCAAACACATTTTATTATAATGTATGTTTCTCCTTGTTTTAGTTCACAGAAGTCTGGAAGCAGCCCTAAATAAGTGTGGCTGTCTGGTCTCTCAGCAAACAGAAGGATGTGACAGCAGATAATATAGTAATTATCTACTGCTGTGTAATACATTACCCTAGAACTTAGCAAGTTCAATCAAATGTTTATTTTCTAAGTTTCTGAGTGTCAGAAAGCAGCTTAGCTGCATCAGGGTCACTTAAGTGATTTCAGTCAAGCTGTTAGCTCAGCTAACTCTACAGCCTCTGCAGTCTTCATTGGGATAGAGGACCTGCTCTAAAGTCACTAATGTAGCCGTGGACTGGAGGCTTCAGATTCTTGTCATGGTACTGCTCCATGTGGCTCCACATGATACAGCTTCCCCCAGAGGTGGGAACAGAGAGAGTCAGAAGCTGATAACTTCATCTCAGAAGTTTCTTACTATTTTGCCACATTCTGTTGGTCACACAGGCCAACCTTGTACATTTTGGGAGGGAACTACATAGTGTAGGAAATACCATGTGGTGTCGGGGTCTTTGAGAACCATCTTGGAGGCTTGCCATCCTAGACAAGGAAGAGACCACAAAAAGTACACCTAGTGATATTTTATTTAGTTTTAGGGGAGGGAACCCTACTACATCCTACCCCTCAGGCTGCCACACATGGCAGAAACAGTTCAATAACATACTTATAGGTATAGTTCATCATTTGCCAAAGGCTAAGTTTTATTAAATTATTTTATTTTTCAGGAAGTGTATAGTCCATTTCAGAAAGATTTTAAACCAAAAATGTCTATATGTTTGGCCTTTTGAAAAGAGTAAACTTCAGTTTGCAAAATGCACCAATTAAAAGAAGTCTATTTTTCTGTCACTAGATAATACCATTGTAACTGTAACTAGGCTTCAAGAGATAGGGGCATAGTGAAAGTGTCATAGTAATAAATATTGCAAGCACTTAAAATGTCTTTCTAAAAAAGTTAGAAGGGTGAAAGAGTATGTTAAAGCCTAGTTGCTTTTGTTCATGTTATATTGCTACAAACTCTAAATTGCAGGACTTTATATACTCATATTTAGTTGCCTATAATGATTATTCTTATTCTTCAGAGTGAAAGAAATACTAAATTTAAATAATTCAGAAGCAGTGTTACCTCCAAAGTATGTATAGACCAGAGCACTTTTTAAAATATATGTTCTCACAATAAATCTGTAAAATAAGCATTTTGAACCGCTGTACAATGAGGAATTTGAGATGAGGCTAAGACAGAGAACTAGTTAGTAGTCAAGCAGAAGTGAGATTTGTTTTTCAAACTCTGAAATCCTGTATTTTTTCATTCAAAGAATCCTGCTTCCTAAAAAATTTTAGATTATTGCTTAATACAAATTTTTGGATAGCCTTGAACTAAAAATTAGGTTATTTCTATTCAGATTTTATATTTCATTTTATGCAAATCCTGCTTTAAAAAGAGAGAAAATACTGAGCTCTAGTGAAATGTTTAGATGTTAAATGTTTAAAAAAAAAAAGGGGGGGGGTAAAAGGACTGTTTAGGTAAATGGGTAACTAAAAATATATTAAAAAAAACCTGGGACTCCCTGGTAGCCTAGGAATTCAGTCTCAGTGCTACCACAAGGAAGGCCTACCTGCCCTCTGGGGCCTGAGTTCGGTCCCTGCCAGGGATCTGACTCACATGGCACAGCAGACCTTGCCTGTCTGGTACGCTGCTCCCCTCAGCAGGGTATGTCAGTAGATATGATGCCTGTTCTGCTTCCCATTCTCTCTGGTGAATCTCACCCTATGCACCTCTGACCTTACACCCCAGTTCTTCTATGCAAAAATAAAATCTTTTAAAAAAAGTTAAAATTTAAATCTTGGTGGTATTCACTGTACAATGACAATCTCCTTTTTGAAAATTATGAAATTTCAGAATAAAACTTTGGAGAAAATTAGATTGTAAACCCACTGGGGAAAAACTGAGCTGCCTCGAATGCGTTGTTAATGATTTGTTCTAAGTTGTGTTTCCTGAGCAGTTGCAGTAAGTGGGAAGTAAAAAACAGACAACTAGAAACTGTCTTTGTCCTGAGAGCTTCTGATGTAAACAAAGGCAAAAAGATTCTCATTTCTGACTAACCTTTTCTCTCTTGCAGGGTTATACATAAATTTCCGTCATCTTTATAAACAGCGCAGGCGGCGCTATGGACAAAAAAAGAAAAAGATCCAGTAAGAAGAGATTTAGATGACTTCTTGCCAGTTTGAGCCTAATCTATAATTCTTACAGTTTTACCTTCTTGTACTGATGTATGTTTTTTTAATGTTAAATGGTCAAATTCTCAGCGAGGCTATCTTCCCTTTCCCCCCAATGACATTCCTGAACTTACTGTATTATCTTAGTGTAGTCTTGCATGATTGCAATGGATTCCTAATATCTGATGGCAGATTCATTCTTGTGTATTCCATTAGTGACAGTAAAAGCCCTTCCCAACCCACTCCCTGTCTAGTCGGTCTGTTTCACCGGTGTCCTGACCTTACCAGGTACAGGCCATTCTTATAGTTGGGATTTGTTCTTCTCAGCTATTACTTGTGAAAGAAAGCAAAATGATGTTCTGTAGAAGGCTGTGAAAGTGACTCAGGCAGGGCCTAACACATTCTGTATCCAAGGGAGTATTGGTAAGTGGGGTGGCATTGACGTTTTGAAAATCAGGTTAGATTCAGTCATTAATTAAATGGTTGAATCCTCGTGGGGCTAGAGAACAAGTCTGACATCTCTTGACCTCTTTAACATCTGTTACTACAGGGCTTACCTGAGTAGGCACTTGGAGAGGCACAGAATGATTTGAGAGAAACCAGTCAGAACATTGGAACACCATGATTACTTACATCATTCCTAGCTAAATCAGAACTATTTTCAACACTCAAGCAAGATGAAACATTTCTTAGAAAACAATGAGATTTTAAGAGTTCCAAACCCAAATGACTGTAGGGGGTCAGTAAAACAGCTGCTGGCTGAAGCAAACTGGAAACAGGCCAGACCAAACACACCTTCGGAAAAAACTATAGACATTGTGAAGTTTGGCCACTGTGAAAAACATGTTTCCTCTAATGCATTCCGTAAAATAAGTGTTAGAAGTAACGCTTGTATTAAAGAATCTAAGGTATTATAGCTTTTTCTTGTTGTGCCATTCCCATTGTTCTTGGGGAAAGGAGATACAATGAGTTATGCTGTTTCTCTGAGCTTAAGATGGAAATTGGCTTGACCTGAAAACAGCTGATTAGCATAGGCTGGCTGATTATTTTCTAAGTTCATTGCACTGAAGGATACTTTGCATGTTGTATCTTCTGTCAGTTCCTGTTTATAATAACTTCTGATGTTCTTTCAGCTTACTTTCTATGTGTAACTGGGCAGAGCAGCTTTGCAGTAGATATACTGCATCTTTGTGGCAGAATCTTGTGTTCTTAGTGATTGTTATAAACCTGTTCACTGCTATTTGAAAAAGGAAGATTGTGTATTTCTATTAAACATTTACAATCAAAATACTAATTTGTATTTAAAGATCATTTATTTCCCAAATCATTAGTGATAACTCCTTTGTTTAGAAAAAAATGTCATATAGCAGCTCAGTGTGTTAAATCAAAGTGGTTTCTTTGGGGTGGGAACACAGTGAGAAGGGTGCCCAGTGGTATATGAAAACGAATGTGAGTGCTCTGGTGATGGGTGGAATGTGGGGATGTGCATGAGGTATGAGCCAGTTACCTTGAATCATACCTAGTAAATCATTGTTACTTCAATAATAAGAAAAAAACCAAAATTGGTTTCCTGGGCTAAAGCCTGGGAGAATAATACAGCAGTTTGAAAGCACTGATGATACAAATAAAGCCTGGAGAAATCACATGACTTGCCTAAGGTTATGAAACTAGCTGAGGAATTGCAGCCTAATGGGCTACAGTCATCTGTCAGATTCTTAACTGGACCCTAGCTGAAGCAATGAGCCCTAACCAATGTCAGAAAGAAGGAAGTCAGTATGGAAACCAAGGAATCTTCATGGCTTATGAACTAGTATTAAGAAGCTGAAATTATATTCAGAAGACAGGACCAAAAAGCTGTAAGACCCATTAATTTCCCATTGAAACTATTTTATAGAAAATCAAATATTTTAATTAGAAAAATTTTAAACAAGAATTATTTTATGCACATATGGTCATTGTTTAAAAATCTTTATCTCAAGACATAGCAAAGGTTACCATCAAGACTTTGCAAGTTCTAAAAGTTCTGAAATGAAGTTCTGAAACCTCATGGTGTCAGGCTTGTACTTATTAGCAAGTTCCAGGCAGTCTGGATTGCCCTTTCCAAGGACAGAAGCTTGAAATGTCTTTATGGTTTAGAGAGGAGAGAAGAGAAGCTGCCTTTCCAGAAGCCTGAGAACCCTTGCTGGTTAGGATTCCTGAAGGAGCAGCAGAGAGCTCTGTGCTCATCCGTCAGTCCGTTAAGCTTCTCAGGAGATACACGAATCATGGGAACAATTACTTTTCAGTGTTTTAAAGATTCTAAGCCCCACAAAATTAAAGTCAAAGCCCAAGCAGCCAACCCCCCCGCTTCAGAGCCTGTCTCAGGCTGCAATGGAGTCACTTAAACCACCAATGGTACTTCACAAGCAGCTTCAGAGAAGTCTTTGGGTGGCTTACTGCAGCGGTGGACAGACTGGGAATGTTTTTACCCTAAATCATTTTCACATGAAATGAAAAAAGGCAGGCTTCAAAGTCAGCTTCACATTCTTTCAGTGCTGCTCCCAGAGAAGTCTGTATGTAAAGGTGTGATGTTGTGATCATAGCCAACATACTCAGTGGTGCCAGTACTGGCCAGCTTGAGCTGCTGGGCAGCATGGGTCAGCTGGAATGCAGCATCAGGATGGGCTGTGTCTGGCAGCAACGTGCACTCCCTTTCCAGCATATCAGCCACCCCTTTGAGCAGATCCAAGAAACCAAAGGCCAGAGCTGCCTTTCGCAAACGGTTCAGCTCCTGGAACAAGATTAAAAAAACAAACAAACAAACAAACAAAAAGCACTTATGTTCTTGGGGTGCGTTCTCAACCATACACTATCTGAGTGCTCAGCTTAAAATAAGTTGTCCTTGACCCCAAACTTTAGTGGGCATTTTTATCTGAGCACAACTGCTTATTGTAGAGATGCCAATAATAACAGAGTGCAATGACAGGACAAGGAGATAGCGCTTTATAATCAGAAAGGGAGGCACAGAAGAGAGCTGATTGCAACACAGGCTACCAACAGCACAGTTAGTGAGCACTTACGCCAAACATGGTGGGGCACTCTGCATACATCCCTTATGGCTTAATGACAATGAACATTTTGGAAGAAGGTTCTGAAAGTTATGAAGTTGACAGAAGCAGAGAAATGCAAAATGCCTCATCAACCACTTAGCAGGAACAGTGTGTAGAGCTGCTCTGGGCCTCAGTGGTCTCATTTGCAAAACTGGATAAATCCTTGTAGTACAGGTACTGAAGCAATCAATTGGTAGAGGTTCTTTCCAGTTCTGATAATGTAAAATGATCGGATCTGACTGACTCTGCACTGTCATCTGTTAACAAGTAAAAAGTTCACAAGAAGGCCAAAGTGTTCACAAGAAGGCCAAAGTACAGGGCTGACAATTGTCATCAGACAGTTCTGCAGCCAAGGAGTGCTTGGCAAGGGCTGGTGCAGATTATGGGCTTCAGTTGGGGAGGTAGACAGCAGGCTAAGCAACTCTGGCTAAATTCTGAGTAAGGCTGTTCTTGCTTGGTCTCACTAGCTCGATACATAATTAGGTTTGCATAAGACAGGGATACAAAGGTAATGCAATAACACTCAAAGTAGTATGTATGTTCTCCGGAAGAGCAACTAGCCTTAGGCTGACTGTGTACCTTATTTTAAGATTAGCAAGCTAGGACACAATTGACAACAAAGTATACCTCACACTGTCACTTAATTCAATTTCAGCCAAGCAGCAGAAAAAAGTAAAAGGTGAGCCTAAATGACCACCCCCATCCTCCATCTCATACCTTGTAACTTTACTCTCACCACCAACAGTTCTGGATTAGCTAGGTAGGCATGATTCCAGAGAACCATTCCTTTGCAATTCATAAGTGTGCAATTTTTAAAAAACAATTTAGTTATACATACATAACTGGGGGACAGGCCAGAGGCTCAGGGACGGTGAAAGAATTCACCAAAGTGGGGAGCAGAATAGATAGACTGAAATACATTACTGAGGGAAGCAGTGGGGGAGAGAGCAGAGTTCTGCTGCACCATGTGGGTCACCTCACCAGCAGGGAATCAAACTTGCACTGAAGCGGCTGCAGTTAGCTTAGAAGAGCTGCTCTAAAGCATTACCATGGAGGACTCCATAATCTACAATTTTTAAGAAGACATTCCTGGAATACATTCTTGGTACATCAGTAAGAATGTTCTAGATAATCATCAACCCAGGAAGTTAACACACACTAGTTGATGGGAGTTGAACTGGATTCCCAGATGGTAATGGTGAGGGTTAAGGCCCCTTCAGCTCCTCTTAGCCACTTACAGCAGTACCAGCACAAAGAAACCCTTTGACACACAAAAAAAGGCCATGTAGGGCCTCCCTGGTTGTGCAGGGGTTAAAGCCTCAGCCCTATCAAGCTATCGGAAGACACTGCTGCCTGAGTTTGATCCCTCACCAGGTAGCTGCCCCATATGGTGCAGCAGAACTCTCCTGTCTCACCTGCTAATTCCTTCAGAAGTATATTTCAGTAGATCTACCTGTTCCGCTCCCCACTTTGTCTCTGTCTCTCAGCACCTGCACCTCTAGCCTACATCCAATTCTTGTATGCATAAAATAAATAAAAATAAATCTTAAAAAAATAACATTAAAAAAAAATAAAGCCATTTAAACACTTCTGATTCTTGGATTTTAGGACCAACGATGGATCTATTGCTTCTACTGACTTTACTGATGAAAAACTGAAACATAAGGCATACATTTCTAATTCCTGTCTGTGTTCACTCTGCTACCTACTCCACTTTTACTATTGTGAACCATTAAATTATAGATTTTTTACATTGTTGTTCATTCTCCTCTGAGGTATAATTGCCATAAAATTATCACCACCAACATACCTATGAACTGTCACTGTAATCTCTTTTGCTCTTCTCTCCTGTTTTGATTCTTCTCCATGACCCTTCCCCTGAATGTCTCCAATTTATAGTGTGCCTGCTAGTTTTGTATTGTACCACTTATTTTTGATACCTATTCCAGGACCCACCCTCTTCTACTATAATTCTGATGGTTTTTACCTTATAGAATGTCTGTGTTTTTTCAGGTAGTTTCCTTGCATTTCTTAAAATCTTCTGTACATCTGTCTATCAAAAAAATTCAATATTAGAATTCTGTGGTACAAGGGAAGAGAATAAAAAGAAGGCTCTAAATTTTGAAGAAAATGAAAACAAAGCTAGTTTTAAGATGAGGATCTCTTTTAAATTAATGTCACATTAGTAAAGCACAGCCCTTCTTCAAAATGCTCCACGTTAGTAATACACCCCTTGGTGACTTGTGATACAAAAACACTTGTTAAAATGGTCAGCTGCTTTTTGACAAGGGTGCCAAGACCTTTAAATGGGGGGAAGAAGTCTCTTCAAAAAATGATGCAGGGACAACTGGATAGCCACATGCAAAAGAATGAAGTTGGATCCTTAGCTCACACCATATACCAAAGTTAAAGCGGACTAGATGTCTTATATAATGGGACCTGAAACTAAAATTTCTGTAAGAAAATAGTATTCTTCAGAAATCTGCATTTAGCAATGGTGTTTTTTCAGCATTACAACAGAAAAAAAATTCAGCAAGAAAAAAACTGACTTTATCAAAATTAAAAACTTTGTGCATCCCGGGACTATGGTGATGGCACACAGGTGACTCGGTCATGGGAAACCCATGGGGATTACAATTGAGATGAAAAAAAACGTACAAAATGATGTAAAAATAAACTATTTTATTATAAAAAAAACCAAAACTTTGTGCATCCAAAGATACTATTAAGACTATAAAAACACAGCAGACAGAATGGTAACTAGACTATAAAACAACAAACAACCCAATTAAAAAATGGGCCAAGGATGCCCTCCCTGATGGTGCAGTGGGTTAAAACGCAGCACTGTGAAGCTGTCTGCAGCCACTGCACCATGAGTTCAGTTTCCGGCCAGGGAGGTGATCCACATGGCGGGGTGGACCTCTCCTGACCCGTCTGCTGCTCCCCTCAGCAGTGTATTTCAGTCAGTCTGCCTGTTCTGCTTCCCACTCTGTCTCCAGTGAATCCTTTCACCACCGTGCCTCTGGCCTATACCCTGGTTCTTGTATATATGAATGAATAAATCTTTTTTTTTTTTAAAGATTTATTTATGTATACAGAACTAGGGTACAGGCCAGAGGTGCAGGGGTGGTGAGAGGATTCGCCAATGACAGAGTGAAGCAGAGTGGAGCAGAACAGGCAGGTCGAGGAAGTACCTGCTGA